TGGGTTCACAGTGGAGTTGCCCAAAGACTTGGAGGGTGGAGTGGAAGCTTCGCCCAAAGACCTGGAGGGTGGAGTGGAATCTTCACCCAAAGACCTGGAGGGTGGAGTGGAAGCTCCACACTGCGAGAGGGATTCCATTTATTTGTCTCTGAGCCAGTGTTCTGTTTGCCCAACCCTGGCCTTCCTCAGACTGGCCCGGAAAAGCTGAATCAGGCCCTGGGGATCCATTGTAGCCCTGAATGGTGTTTGCTGCCGCATACTCTTCAGGCATAATTGTTCTGGCTGGTATTTGTTCTGTCTCTGTTCACCCTGAGGTGGGCTGGGTGCTACCCCTCCCGGTTCCACACGCTACTAGATTATCTGAAAACAAGTCCCAGACATCGTTTCATTTGAAATGTTTCAGTGTCTCTCTCTAAAAGGTCAAGACCTTGTAAGACTCAACATGATAGCATTATTACACTTAATAATTTCATAGTATAATCATATATCTAGTCAGTTAATATTTCCCTCATGTCATATAATTTCTAAAAATGTTTTTCTGTAGGAATTGAGATCCAGTCAGTGGATGAGTCTCTAAAATCTTCTATAGGTTCTGCTTCCATCTTTACATTCCCTGCAGGTTATGGTCGTTGTTATTGAACAAGCCAGGTTGGGAAATGATATGATGTCTGGGCCTCTTTCTTCCCCGAGACACAGTAATTTTGAAAGTGGCCACTTAATAATCCTATTGTGGCCTCTAAGTGTTCAAGTGAAAGGAAGAGGTGCATGTCTCATCTCAAATCAGAAGCTCGAAGTGATTACGCTTAGTGGGGAAGGCATGTCAAAAGTCGAGATAGGCTGAAAGCTAGGCCTCTTGTGCCAAACATTTAGCCTACCTGTGAAAGCAAAGGAAAAGTTCTTGAAGAAAATTAAAATTGCTGCTCCAGTGAATGTATGAATAAGAAAGTGAAACAGCTTTATTGCTGATGTAGAGAAAGTTTGAGTGGTCTGGATAGAAGATCTAACTAGCTACAACATTCCCTTAATCTAGTGCAAGGCCTTAACTCTCTTCCATGCTGTGAAGGGCAAGAGAGGTGAGGAAGCTTCGGGAGAGAAGTTTGAAGGCAGCAGAAGTTGGATCATGAAGTTTAAGGAAAGAAGCTGTCTCCATGACATCCGAGTACAAACTGATGGAGAAGATCTAGTTCAGATCGTTAATGAAGGTGGCTGCACTGAACAAAGATAGTCAGTGTAGACACAACAGCTCTCTGTTGGAAGAAGATGTCGTTTAGGACTGCCACTGGGTAATGCAGTTGGTAACTTTAAAGCCAGTACTCATTGACCATTCCAGCAAATTTTAAGACCCTTAAGAATTTATGCTCAGTCTGTCTGCCTGTGCTCTGTAAATGGAACAACAACCTGGATGATAGCACATCTCTTTACAACATAGTTTACTAAATATTTTAAGCCCACTGTTGAGACCTTCTTAAAAAAAAAAAAGATTCCTTTCAAAATGTTACTATTCATTGACAATGCACCTGGTGACCCATGTGATGGAGATTAATGTTTTCATGCCTGCTAACACAGTATCCATTCTGCAGATCAAGGAGTAACTTCCACTTTCAAGTCTTAGTCTTTAAATATATTTCATAAGGCTGTAGTTGCTATAGATAGTGATTCCTTTAATGGATCTGAGCGAAGTAAATTGAAAACCTTCTGGAAAGGATTCGACGTTCTAGATGCCATTAAGAGCATGCATGATCCATGGGAAGAAGTCAGAATATCAGCATTAGCAGGTACTTGGAAGAAGTTGATTCCAGCCCCCATGGATGAGTTTGAGGAGTTCAAGACTTAGGTGGAGGAAGTAATTGCAGAGGTGGTAGAAATAGCAAGATAAGTGATTTAGAAGTGGAGCCTGAAGATGTGACTGAATTGCTACACCTCATTGAAGACCTTGATGGATGAGGAGTTGCTTCTTATGGATGAGCAAGGAAAGTGGTTCCTTGAGATGAAATCTACTCCTGGTGACGATGCTGTGAAGATTGTTGAAGTGACCACAAAGGATTTAGAATATTACATAAATTTGGTTGATAAAGCAGTGTTTGAGAGGATTGGCTCCAATTTTGAGTCTGTGGTTTCAGTTCTGTTCAGTCGCTCAGTCTTGCCAACTCTTTGCGACCCCATGAATCGCAGCACGCCAGGCCTCCCTGTCCATCACCAACTTCCGGAGTTCACTCAAACTCATGTCCATCGAGTGGGTGATGCCATCCAGCCATCTCATCCTCTGTCGTCCCCTTCTCCTCCTGCCCCCAATCCCTCCCAGCATCAGGGTCTTCTCCAATGAGTCAACTCTTCGCATGAGGTGGCCAACGTATTGAAGTTTCAGCTTCAGCATCAGTCCTTCCAATGAACACCCAGGACTGAAGATCAGTCTTTGGTTTAAATACTGTCAAACAGCATTGCATGCTACGGAGAAATTGTTCATGAAGGGAAGAGTCAGTCAGTGAGGAGCACTTCATTGTTGTCTTACATTAAAGAAACCGCCGTAGCTGCCTCAGTCAGCAGCCATCAGCACTGAGGCAAGACCCTCCACCAACAGAGATGACCATTCGTCGAAGGCTCAGATAATGGTTAGCAGTTTTTAGTAATAAAGTAATTTTAAATTAAGGTATGTACCTTGTGCTTTTTAGACAAAATGCTATTGCACATTTTAAACATAATTTTGATTCGCTCTCGGGAATAGCAAAGTTAATGTGACTCATTGTGTTGTGATACTCACTTTACTGCCATGGTCTGGAAGGAACCCACAGTATCTCTGAGGTCTGCCTGTATATTTGAATTGAGTCTTCTCCAGTGAGCTCTGGTGTACTTTAGTGGAAAATGGTATTTAGATACTACTTTGGCCATAGGACTCTAGGCCTTTTCCGAGGACAAAGCTGGGGAGTACTTCTTTTCAATTGCAGGTAAAGTTCATCTTAGATTTCCCGTTTAGATTTAGGACTAAGGAGTTTTTACCTTGTGTCATCAATCTGTTGAAAAAAATCCAGCCAAGTCAATTTGAAGATCTTATTGGTTTTGTTCAATGATTCACGAATCTGGCAGCATCCCCACCTGGCAAGTAGAAAGGCCCTGCCAGGAGCTGTACAAAATGGAAGGCTTTTATGGGCAGAAGGAGGCTGTGACAAGGAAGTTAAAAAAAAGTGGATTATTTCTGTCCAAGTCAGCTTCCCTGGGGGACTGTGGGGTTCTTACCAGGCAGGTTACCTTAGACCAGGAATTTCCAGATGGACTGGTTCAAGACTTAACTCTTGGGAGAGGCTGAAGCTGCTTTAAGTTAGGTATTAGGTCTTGGTGGGGCTTAGCTTGAGTGATTCCATTTTGGTCTTACAGTTTCTTTTTAACAAATCTGATGTTTGTATCTCCTTTCAAACCAAAAACCTTGGTTATCAGGGGCAGCAACATAATTACTCATGTATTATCCTTCAATAGGCAGGCAGAAATGCTCGGATAAATACACTTATTTTATCACCAAAATATGATGCCTAAAAAAAAATTGACCTTTGCTTTGTGTTAATAGTTCTGTTTTTCCTTAGCCTAGATTCCTCCTCCCCAAGGAATCTAGCGTGAGATCTTTTCTCACTGTGCAGCGCACAGATTCAGCTTATTTTTGGGTTTTCAGTTCAGTTCAGTTGCTCGATCGTGTCCGACTCTTTGTGACCCCATGTATTGCAGCACGCCAGGCCTCCCTGTCCATCACCAACTCCCGGAGTTTACCCAAACCCATGTCCATCGAGTTGATGATGCCATCCAAGCATCTCATCCTCTGTCGTCCCCTTCTCCTCCTGCCCCCAACCCTTCCTAGCATCAGGGTCTTTTCCAATGAGGCAGCTCTTCACATCAGGTGGCCAAAGTACTGGAGTTTCAGCTTCAGCATCAGTCCTTCCAATGAACACCCAGGACTGATCTCCTTTAGGATGGACTGGTTGGATCTCCTTGCGGTCCAAGGGACTCTCAAGAGTCTTCTCCAACACCACAGTTCAAAAGCATCAATTCTTTGGCACTCAGTTTTCTTTATAGTCCAGCTCTCACATCCACACATGACCACTGGAAAAACCATGGCCTTGACTAGACGGACCTTTGTTGGCAAAGTAATGTCTGCCTTTTAATATGCTGTCTAGGTTGGTCATAAAACTTTTGGGTTTTAGGTTATTTAATAAAAATTGTTTTATTTTTGTGTAAATTATTTTCGTCATTCTAAACAGAATCTACAGATCAAGATGTTTTTGTAGAAATCTAGCTTTGTTCTCTGTCTCTTCTTTCTCCCTAGGTGCCCTTTTGAAAGATAAATAGGTTATCCTTTTTATCTTTAAATACACGTGGGTAGCATCCAATTATGCTTTTCTCCACCTTGAATTTCCCACTCAGCGTCCCCTGGCCTCTGTCCACAGCAGTACCTAGAGATCTTCCTCTTTCCTTTACCAGGGATGCCCCACTCCCTTGTGTGGGTGTCGGCTTGTTTATTTTAGGAGTTCTCCTAACTTCCTGTTCCAGTGTTTTCTGGGAATGACAGTTTCTGGATGGATGTGGAGGGAAGGTGGGGGAGTGCGGTGACCTGGCTGCCTCTGGAAGCATCCTGGCTGGGAGCACTCACTGCTGTTTCTTCCCAGTCCTGGTCCCGGGTGGAGGGTAGGTGCCTTTCCTCTGTCCCGGGTGGGCGGGGCCCCTCTTGCCTAGATCGCCATCCACGCTCTCTGTCTTTGCATTTATACTCCTTTTGGTTCCCATGTAGAAATTCTCCCAGGGTTTGAGTAATACAGCATTTTCAGCCTTAAGTTTTTGATAATGGCCCCTGTGTTGTGTGTCCTCATGTTTATATTCCTAAGGATTTGGGAGGAGTTACAGATTGTGCCTCATGTGCTGAATAAAAACAGATCGCCATACATAAAAAGTAAACACAACAAAAATTGTAGAAACACCCTTTTCTCTCCTGCCTAACCAATACTGAATTACTTGTGTTGCAGGGAAAAGGACTTGGAAGCCAAATTCATTATTCAAATGGAGAAAAGCAAAACGACCATCACAAACTTAAAGGCAAGTAGTGACCTGGCCTGGCTCCAGTTCTGTGAGTTACGTGGTTTGTTTCAGTGTTAAATGGTTTGTGGGTGAGTACACCGCATCTGTTTCCACAGCTTTCTTCTCTCAGTTCAGTTAATGACATCAGCTTGAACTTGGCTTGGGCTTGGCCCCGAAGCAAATGGGTGCCAGGTGATTACCTGTCACCTGTCCTGCCTCTCGTCTTGTTGACCTTAGCTGCAGAGCCAGGCCGCAGCTGGGGGAGGTGAGACCAGGCATTTTTATCCTCTATCCTATTGTGGATTTTTAGCCTGGAAATTAGCTCATTGTGGATTATTATAAGCTTCGACCCCAGATTTGTTTTCATTTTTAAAAAAGTATTTATTTTTATTTATTTATTCATCTCTGCCAGGTCCCAGGTGTGGCACACGGGGTCTTTGATCTTCATTGTACAGTGTGGGATGTAGTTAACTGACCAGGGGTGGGACCCAGGCCCCCTGCATGGGGAGTGTGGAATCTTAGGCCCCGGACCACCAGGGAAGTCCCTGTTTTCATTTCTACTGAAAGTAACTTCATAAACCTTGCAGGAGGAGCTGGTATTACTATTCAAGACCCAGGAGATGAAAAAAATGTAAAAAACTGAAATTTTTTTCTGGAAAAAAAAAAGTGAAAAAGATCCCAGAATTTTCTGAGATGGCAAGTTCTTTTGTATTTAAAATATCCTGGTGCTTTCCGCTTCTGGGGAAAAGAAGTGTGCGAAAGCAGTAATAAAGGAGTCTCGCCCCTAAGGACCCAGCCCCTCCTCCTCAGAGGTCTGTCCTTAGCTCAGGGGCTTGGGTTTCAGAGGCCTGCTGCCCTGCGGCCAAGCACAGATCACTCTGGTTGGATTTCTGCTAATTCATGGCTCGGGGGGCTGGGCCCTTTGTGATCCAGCGTCAAAGTCCTGTAACCTGATCCCCTGTGATGGAAGCAGGTCCTGTGCCCGGTCTTCAAACGGGCTGTGCCCTGGGGGATTCCAGAGGCCTCCTCTGAGGCGCCAGTGCCTGCCTCTCGCCTGCGGCCTCTGCAGTGGAATGTTTCTCGCTCTGCTGACCTGCACGTCTTGTTCCTCCTGGCTCTGCCCAGCTGCACCTGGCTTCCCCTCCTCTGATCACCCACGTCTTCTCGCTTCGCTCACTCTTTCTCTGCTGTTAGTTACCTTCGCTTTGCTTTGCTTCCTGTGTCTTTATGTGTTCACAGGGCTGCAAAGTCCAATCATTCTAATACTGTATTTATTGGAACCAGTGGGGAGACCCGAGCATTGGATGAATATCCCTTCTTCATTGCCTTGTTTGATACAACCACAATAGGTGCCTGGAGTTTTAAACATTTTAATAATAAGAACCTTAAATTTTTTTCTTTTTTACAGCTTATAGTACATATAATGTTGTTGTTTAGTCGCTTAGTCGTGTCCAACTCTGTGATCCCATGGACTGCAGCATGCCAGGATTCCCTGTCCTTCACCATCTCCTGGAGTTTGTTCACATTCATATCCGTTGAGTCAGTGATACCATCCAACCATCCTATCCTTTGTCTCCCCCTTCTCCTGCCCTCAATCTTTCCCTCAATCAGGGTCTTTTCCAGTGAGTTGGCTCTTTGCATCAGGTGGCCAGAGTATTGAAGCTTCAGCATCAGTCCTTCCAGTGGATACTCAGAACTGATTTCCTTTAGGATTGACTGATTTAATCTCCTTGCTGTGCAAGGGACTCTCAAGAGTCTTCTCCAGCACCACAGTTCAGAAATATCAATTCCTTGGTGTTCAACCTTCTTTATGGTCCAGCCTTCCCATCTGTATATGACTACTGGAAGAACCATAGCTTTGACTAGATAGACCTTTTCCAGCAAAGTGATGTCTCTGCTTTTTAATACACTGTCTAGGTTTGTCATAGCTTTTCTTTCAAGGAGCAAGCATCTTTTGATTTCATGGCTGCAGTCACTATCTGCAGTGATTTTGCAGCCCAAGAAAACAAATTCTGTCTCTGTTTACATTTCCCCCCCATCTATTTGTCATGAAATGTTGGGGCCAGATGCTATGATCTTTGTTTTTTTGACTGTTGAGTTTTAAAACTGCTTTTTCACTCTCCTCTTTCACTTTTATCAAGAGGCTTTTTAGTTCCTCTTCACTTTCTGCCATTTGGGTGGTGTCGTCTGCATATCTGAGGTTATTGATATTTCTCCCTGCAATCTTGATTCCAGCTTGTGCTTCATCCTGCCTGGCATTTCACATGATGTACTCTGCATATAAGTTAAGTAAGTAGGATGACAGTATACAGCCTTGACGTACTCCTTCCCCAATTTTGAACCAGTTCGTTGTTCCATTTAAGGTTCTAATTGTTTCTTTTTGACCTGCATACCGGTTTCTCAGGAGACAAGTAAGGTGGTCCAAGAATTATCCAATTTGTTAATAATCCAGACAGTCAAAGGCTTTAGTGTAGTCAATGAAGCAAAAGTAGGTGTTTTTCTGGAATTCCCTTGCTTTGTCTGTGATCCAACAGATGCTGGCAGTTTGAACTCTGGTTCCTTTGCCTTTCTAAACCTAGCTTGTACATCTGGAAGTTCTCGGTTCAGGAACTGCTGAACCCTAGCTTGAAGGATTTTGAACATTGCCTTGCTAGCATGTGAAATGACTTCAGTTGTGCAGTAGTTTGATCATTCTTTGGCTTTGTCTTTCTTTGGGATTGGAGTGAAAACTGACCTTTTCCAGTCCTGTGGCCACTGCTGAGTTTTCCAAATTTGCTAGCATATTGAGTGCAGCACTTCAACAGCATCATCTTTTAGGATTTAAAATAACTCAGCTAGAATTTCATCACCTCCACTGGCTTTGTTCGAAGTATTGCTTCTTAAGGCCCACTTGACTTCACATTCCAGGATGACTGACTTGAGGTGAGTGCCCACACTGGCATGGTTATTTAGGTCATTAAGACATTTTTTCTATGATAGAAAAATCATGTGTATTCTTGCTACCTCTTCTTAATATCTTCTGCTTCTGTTAGGTCCGTACCATTTCTGTCCTTTATTGTTCTCACTTTTGCATGAAGTGTTCCCTTGGTATCTCTAATTTTCTTGAAGAGATCTGTAGCATTTCCCATTCTATTGTTTTCCTGTATTTCTTTGCATTGTTCACTTTAGGAAGGCTTCCTTATCTCTCCTTACCTCCTTTGGGACTCTGCATTCCGATGGGTGTATCTTTCCTTTTCTCCTTTGCCTTTTGGTTCTCTTCTCAGCTATTTGTAAGGCCTCCTCAGACAGACATGTTGCCTTTTTGCATTCCTTTTTCTTGGGGATGGTTTTGATCACCACCTCCTGTACAGTGTTATGAACCTCTATATGGTTCTTCAGGCACTCTGTCTATCAGATCTAATCCCTTGAATCTATTTGTCACTTCCACTGTATAATCATAAAAGATTTTATTTAGGTCATATCTGAATGGTTTAATGGTTTTCCCTACTTTCTTCAGTTTAAGTCTAAATTTTGCAATAAGGAGTTCATGATCTGAGGAGCAGTCAGCTCCTGGTCTTGTTTTTGCTGACTGTATGGAGCTTCTCCATCTTAGGCTGCAGAGAGTATAAATCAGTCTGATTTCGGTATTGAGCATCTGGCGATATCCACGTGTAGAGTCTTCTCTTGTGCTGGAAGAGGGTGTTGCTGTGATCCATGCAGTCTCTTGGTAAAGCTCTGTTTGCCTTTCCCCTGCTTCCTTTTTTTTTTTTTCACTCCAAGGCCAAACTTGCCTGTTGCTCCAGATGTCTCTTGACTCCTACTTTTGCATTCCAGTCCCCTATGATGAAAAGGAGACATAGTGTAGTATCTGAATTATGTTGGCAAATATGATACCGATTAAATGGTATTTAGCACATATCCAGGGAGCTGTGTGAGGCATTGGTGGCATATGAAGATGTTTAAACATGATTTTTTTTGTTCAGTTTTGGTATATAGCAAGGTAGATGAGATGTATGCAAACATATGCAATAGACTGATAATGTGATGTGTCCTGGGAGAGGCTCATCTCTCAGAGGTGGGAGAAATTACTTCTGGATGGAGTGCCAAGGGGAGCCTTATGGAAGAGGAGGCGTCTGACTTGGAGTTTTTAGTGGGGCCAGTTGATCACACATCTGTTCTCACAATGTCATCTGTGTGAACAGCACCCCCTGGAGTTGTACAGACTCTAGCTTTGGCCGGAGTGTCAGGTTCATATAAGGTAATCATGATAAAAAGTCCAGAAAAGGTAGCCTTGGGTCATATTGTAGAGAGCCTGAATAGGAGGCTGGGAGGAGTTTATGTTTGCTTTCTTCTTCCTTCCTTCCTTCATTGAGAAAGTGGTCAGGATGAATTAAATGGATTTGAGTCAGGGTATAAATAATGCATAATGGTGATTGTTGTGAACTTTTTACAAATTTTTTTTTCCCTTGAATTGGATGGATTACTTGTCAGCTAACAGTATTCTTTACATTATTATGGTTTTTCTATTGCATTGTTATTGCTATTATCACAATCTTCTCTCTCTAGATACCAGAAGGAGGGACTGGGGACTCAGGAAGAGAACGGACCAAGACCTTCACCTACGACTTTTCTTTTTATTCTGCTGATACAGAAAGTCCAGATTATGTTTCTCAAGAAATGGTATGATGTTTTAAGAAATCTCTGTTTTGGTTTATTTTCATGTTGAGAAAAACATGCCTACCCTAAAACTCTTTAAAAAGCCTTGCTAATTTTTTTTTTCTGGATATGATTTATATAAAATTAGTCTTTGCTAACTTAGCTTTTTGGTTGTTACGTAGCACCATTTCTCTTAGGCCTGAGATAAATTCCATCCCCCAAAGGTGGAGTTTTTTTCCCACTTCTGAGCATGATCATAGTTTTTGTTTCAAAACTTGGCCGTGACTACAGTTTTAAAGGAGCTCTGCAAATAGAGCATTTTGAGGGGGACGTTTATAGACATGCTTTATTTTACTGTGCTTTGGTTTATTATACTTTGTAGATACTCTGTTTTGTAAATCGAAGGTTGTGGCAACCTTGTGTAAGTGAATTCGTGTCGTTTTTCCAGCAGCATTTGTTCGCTTGGTGTCTCTGTGTTCCGTTTTGGTAATTCTCGTGATATTTCAGACTTCTTCCATTATTATCATATTTGACCAGTGATTGTCATGTTACTCTTGCAACAAGATAATGACTTGTTGACGGCTCAGATGATGGTTAGTATTTTTTAGTAAGAAAATACTTTTTAATTAAAGTATGTGTATTATTCTTTTTAGATATAATGCTACCACACACTTAATAGACTACAATATAATATAAACATAACTTCTATTTGCACAGGGAACCAAAACATTTGTGAGCCTAGCTTTGTTGCAGCTGTTGCTTTGTTGTGGTGATCTGAACTGGATTGCAGTGTCTTTGAGGTCTGCCTATGTGTACTGCTAAGCCTGGCAGATTGCTCATTTGACTTTGAGTCCTACCCAGATGCAGAGCTGTAGGATGTAGACTTCAAACCCAAGTCACATTTCCCCTTCTTGGGTGCACCATTGTAGGTTCCAGAAAGAAGGATTCTAGAAAGAAAGATCGTTTTGCCCAGAATCTTTGTGGAACATAGAATGAAGGTGGGGTTTGTCCAGGAAACCTGTGCTGTGGACTTTTGTGATCTGAAATGTAGACCTGACATTGGCAGATAAGAACAGACCCGAAGGGCTTCCAGGGACCATCGCGTGATGACGTGTCACGTGACCAGAAGGACTCGTGTCTTTCCTTGGGTGGGACAAGCAGGGTGTTAGAGCAAGGTGGGGTCCTGGGGAAGCACAGTGTTGTGGGAGAAACTGGTTTCTTCTCTGGGCTTCTTCCTGGTTTGTTAACAGCTGTTTTTGAGATGTAGCTTCAGGTCTCGAGGTGTTAAACTGAGGGTATTAAGGTTGGTACAAATGTAATTGCTGTTTTGGACCGTGAATTTTAAATCATTGTAACGAGGCTCAAACACATCTTTATTAATCAAAATAAGAACCATTACAATCAACACATTTTTTCCAACAAGAAATAAGTTTATTTATTCCTGTAGCTTAAAAATCTGTGGCTTGAGATTCAACAAACTCTTGGAAAACATTTTCTGCCTCCTGCTGGTTGTGGAAGCATTTTCCCTGCAAAAAAAGTTGTTGAGATGCTCAAAGAAGTGGTAGAAAGTTGGTGAGAAGTCAGGTGAATGTGGCGGATGAGGCAAAGCTTTGTAGCATAGTTGTTTAACTTTTGAAGTTTGGTTATGTGACATGTGCTCAGGCATTGTCGTGGAAAATAATTGGGCCTGTTCTGTTGACCAATGTTGAATGCAGGTGTTGCAGTTTTCAGTGCATGTCATCTATTTGCTGAGCTCAGATGTAATGGTTTTGCTGGGATTCGGAAAGCTGTAGTGGATCAGATCGGCAGCAGACCACTGAACAGTGACCATGGCCTTTTTTGGTGCAAATTTGGCTTTGGAAAGTAATTTGGAGCTTCATGGTCCAACGACTGAGCTGGTTGTTGTATAAAACCCACTTTTCGTTGCACGTCCCAATCTGATTGAGAAATGGCTCATTGTTGTTGCATAGAATAAGAGAAGGCGATACTTCAGAACAACTTTCTTTTTTAGATTTTTGGTCAGCTCATGAGGCACCCACTTACTGAGCTTTTTCACCTAAGTTGCCTCAAGTGCTCAATGACTGGGATGGTTGACGTTGAGTTCTTTGGCAGCTTCTCGTGCAGTTGTAAGAGGATCAGCTTTGATGACGGCTCTCACTTGTCACTGCAATGTCACAATGTCAGCTTCCAGTGGCTGGGCACTGCACTGCTCACCTTCAAGGCACTCGTTTGCAAAACTTCTGAAACACCACTGCATTGTACGTCCGTTAGCAGTTCCTGGGCCAACTGTGTTACTCATGTTGTGAGTTGTTCTCTGGTCCTTTTGATGGATTTTGAACTTGAGTAAGGAAATCACTTGAATTTGCTTTTTGTCTATCATCATTTCCATAGTTTAAAATAAATATAAAATATACAGCAAGTAATAAATCATTAGCAGAAACATAAAGTGAGAAATGCGCATTAAAATGATGTATAACATAACCACATTTATTTAAGAATGTATTCTAACCAACCTAATAGAATTCCCAACCTGGCTGTCCTACCCACGTGGTAGCATCTTGAAGTGGTATCATCGTCGAGTTTCTTGTCCCCTGGTGTGTCCACGTGCTGGAATCTCAGCGTTGCCTGGGGATGTGTTAGAAATGCAGAATTTCAGGGACTATTCCTGCTGAACCAAACTGAATTTTTAGAAGAGCCCCAGATGACCTGCATACTCCTTAACATCTGAGAAACGTAGTTGGTTTAGAAATGTTTTGTGGAGACGGCTTTCTGAGGCCATATAAGAGTTGGGTTAGAGTGAAGATGGGCTGTGAACTTGGAGAAGTTGTTCCAAGGAAGAGCCTGGAGGGGTTGTGCCTGGAAGATGTCGATTCACCATCAGGGAAACATCGACAGGACGACGGCAGAAGGAACGGGGCTGTGAGGGGAGGGGAGGTGCCTGGCACAAGGCAGGGGCAGGGAGAGGAAGGGGCGACTCGTGTTGCCGGAATTTGCCCCGGACTCAGGAACGCTGCAGGGTGCTCATGGCCTCTGCCTCGTTTATGCCCCTCAGGAACCAAACGAGGTCAGCGGTACCTCCATTTTTCTTTGTCAGAGAGACTCAGGGTAAGTAACTCAGTGGACTAGAGGAAGTCCGCAGATCTAATCCGCGGAGTTGAGGGGAGTTGAAATCCTAGGGCTGCTGTTGAGGGCAGTGGCGATGCCACCGGAAGGCCCTGTGGTGTGAGAGAAGGCGTGGGTGTGTCCTCAGTGACAGGTGGGCAGGGCCGCCCAGTTGAGTGAGGAAATGGGCAGCGAGGGAATGAAGGTAACTTTGGTCCTGAGATGAGAGGACTTACCAACATTAGTAGCGAGGAGTCTGGCGAAGAACGGAATGTTATGGCTAGTGGAATCCGGACTTGGGCTTCCGTGTAGGGATGGGGGTGAGGAGACCGGTGTGAGAGAGTTTAAGGGGAAAGCTGGTTCCTTCCCCACTCCTTAGAGCGTCTTCACCAGAGGATGAAGGAAGTACCACGAAGGCTTCCCTCCTGACTTACCCGGCTAGTGGCTGGCTTTCCCCGCCTTGAACCTGGGTTTGCGGCCGCTGGGGACAGGGACTGTGCTGAGGGAAAGCCCAGGCATGGGACTGGTGGCGTGGGCAGCGGGCCCTGGCCCCGGGAGGCGCCCAGCACGCGTTTGCTGACCGGGAAGCCTCATCTGCGGTTGGTGGTCCGTTTATGGGAACAGGCGACAGTTCCTGGCTTCAGTGAGAGTTAAGGTCAGGGAAGCAGTACCAGGAGGCAAAAATACCTTCCCAGAGTTAAAAATAGTGAGACTATGGAGAGTTTGCAACTCAGGAGCACACTTCCCAGCTTCCGGACTGAGCTTCAGCCGTTTGGGTTCCTTGACTCTGAACAGTCTCAGGTTATTTATACTCACTTCAAAACTGATAAAACCTTTGAGATATGTGAGTGAACGCTGCTTTCTAGTAGAACCACATGTTACTAGAAGCAGCAGAGATACAGGAAAGTACCTATTTTTTGCATTTTTTCCCCCAGTTTTGTTGAGAAGTAATTGGCATACATCACCATGTGAGTTTAAGGTATACAGCATGGTGGTTTGCTTTATATATCTTGTGAAATGATGACCACAGTAGGTTCAGCTGACATCCATCTTCTCGTATAAATACAAGGAAAAGAAAAAGAAAAAAATTCTCCTTGTGATGACAACTCTTAAGATCTACTCTCTTAACTTTATAGTGTGCGGCAGTGTTAACTGTAGTCATCACTTTTATATTGCATCCTTAGTATTTATTTCTCTAATAACTGCAGAGCTGTACCTCTTGTCCAACTTCTTTCAGTTCTTCCCTTCCCTACTTCCCACCTGTAATGACAAATCTGATCTCTTTTTCTATAAGTTTGGCATTTTGGGGAAAACACCCATTTTCTACTCTGTTCAAAAGGCAATCTCCCTCACCTCTGATTTTATTAGCTGGTGTTGTGTGGGCTCACGTTTTCATGCTGGCAGATCCTGCCCAGGAGCTGAGCTGACTGGTCACACACCTGCTCTAAACAGGGGGAAGATCATCAGCTTAGCGTGAGGTCACCCTTTGTCTTTTTCTTCTCTTTAAAAATGATTAAAATGTAAAGGCACCTTGAGACAGTATATCATGCCTGTTACTGTAGTACAAGTCAGGTTTCCCATAATGTTAAACAAATTCCAAGTAAGATGACGGTTAATATTTCTTCCTTCCAAATTAATTTTAAATTTAGGGGAAAAAAATCAGTGAGCAGTTAAAGTCCATACTCATCTTGATTAAAGACCATTTAAGTAAGGTCTCATTTTCTTAATGGTCCTTCCAGCTCCAAAGGGAGGCTCTGCTCTCACGCTTGCCCTTCCTTGATTCGACCCCAGAGAAACTTGAGACCTAAAATCTCCCCCTTGATAGCTGGACAGAGAGTCTTTTGTTCGCACGGTGCCCGCCAGTGGGCAGTTGCTCTCCAGCGAGGCCCTGCAGCGTCTCCCTCTGCTCTGGAATCAGCTTTACAGCCTCTCAGACAAGCTGGTGGGTCTCTAGGTCCCTGGCCGGGAGGGCAGCCCATCAGCCCATCCAGCGGCCCCTCTGTCCCCATGTCAGTTGGTGGACCATGGTCGACAAGTCCTTGGTGGGAGCTGCCATGCAGAGCCTGTTTCCCTGCTGGGGGCCCCGAGGTGTGGGCACCGTCCCGCTGATTCTCCGGGTCCCCAGCTGACTTGAAGCTGAGATGGAGCCAGGCGTGCATCTCAGCCCCCAGGGCCTGCGTTTTTCTGTACCAGTTCCAGGGTCCTATCCACCAGCTCTGCCCTACCCAGGCCCCCTGAGTCAGGTGGAACACCAGCTGAGTAGCTTTCTAGAGAATAAATGAGGAGTAAAGTGGCGGGGGTGGATTTTAACCCAAGGGAAGAATTCCATCCTGAAAACTTTGGGGTTTGTTTTTTATTATTGTTATTATTTTGGCCACAGCCTGTGGCATGTGGGACCTGAGTTCCCTGCCCAGGAATTGAACCCAGGCCCCCTTCAGTGGAAGCATGGAATCTTAACCACTGGACCACCAGGGAAGTCCCTGGGGTTTGGTTTAAATATGGTATTTTCTGTGACTTTGTTTAGCCCCAGACAAAAGTATGAGAGATTGTTCCTTTATTCTTTGGGAAGCTTTTGGAAGGCTGTTCTTCCTCTCCACTGGCACCCTGTGAAGTGTTAAAAATGATAATCTGTCATTTCTTTTTTTGTCTAATCAAGAATAATTAAATAAATATTTACAGTTTTCTTCCTATTCTGTTTTGGTTGTGAAAACCAACCTCTCAGATGGTTTGTCGGGAGCCCAAAGTCCCTGTGGGATTCCTGGTTCTGCTGCTTCACGGAGGTGTGTGTGGATGTGTGTGTGGAGGGGGTGAGGGAAGGCCTTCCGTGTGGGCTTGGGGCCTCCAGGCCGATGCTGAGCGCCAGCCAGTGTGCGGGCCGGGGCTGGGGAGGGGGCTGTGGGTCTCAGCCCTGCGGCCGCCGCGGCCTGCCACCTCGCCTGTCCCCCAACAGCGGACCTGGCCACACTGCTTGCCCCAAGGGTGGGTCACGAGCACAGTTGAAGGTTGACTTAACCATCCGACTGTGAGAAAAAGATCAGACAATGCCAGCTCCTGAAGCAGAAGTGGATGAAACTCAAGTCAGAGTGAAGGAGGGTAATGAGAGGTCCTCCGTGGAGATGGCTTGGTCGAAGGGACAGGCTGTACACCTCTGACTGAGGAGAGGAAGCCTGAACTGGGGGGTGGGATGAGGGGGTGGAGGCAGCCTGGCTGACAGCCCTTGTTGGTAGTGGGACGCTTAAGTGGGGAGGGGAGAGAGGTGCTGGTGGTCATCAGGCCGTCCCGAGCGGGCTCTGCCCGGCGGGTGGTCATCAGGCCGTCCGGAGCGGGGTCTGCCCGGCCGGTGGTCATCAGGCCGTCGGGGGCGGGGTCTGCCCGGCGGGTGGTCATCAGGCCGTCGGGGGCGGGGTCTGCCCGGCGGGTGGTCATCAGGCTGTCCGGGGCGGGGTCTGCCCGGCCGGTGGTCATCAGGCTGTCCGGGGCGGGGTCTGCCCGGCCGGTGGTCATCAGGCCGTCGGGGGCGGGGTCTGCCCGGCGGGTGGTCATCAGGCTGTCCGGGGCGGGGTCTGCCCGGCCAGTGGTCATCAGGCTGTCCGGGGCGGGGTCTGCCCGGCCGGTGGTCATCAGGCTGTCCGGGGCGGGGTCTGCCCCGCCGGTGGTCATCAGGCCGTCGGGGGCGGGGTCTGCCCGGCGGGTGGTCATCAGGCCGTCCGGAGCGGGGTCTGCCCGCAGGGCGCAGGTCCCCACGGGGAGGCGGTGTTTCTGGAGTCGGATGGCGCCGGGTTGCTTACGGAGACTCCGCGCTCCCGCGGGGCTGATGCGGATCCTGCCCCGGCCTGCGTGAATCCCACACGTCTTCCTGCCCTGACTGAGAACCTGATCGCACCCCCGTCTCTGCTGTCTCTCCAGCTGCTGGCGTGACTTGTTTTTGAAGGAGGGAGGTGTTTTTCGTGCCCGTGGTGTTCTGGTCCGAGAGGCCAAGTGGGGGTTAGAAAGCTTTGACGGGTCCCCTCCCTCGATGGGATAAGTAGGGTGATGAGGCATCTCGGTTTGCTTCACTCCCATTGATCATGTAGGTCAAGCATTTGCCCTTCACTCCCTTCCATTCCCCAGAGCATCCCACTGCAGTTGTGGGGTGCAGTGGACATGGACTCAGGACTGTGGGCACCGTCCCAGGCCCCACAGAGCCCATCTTCCTGGGAAAATAGCCAAAGAGGGAAAATCATCTGGACTCTGACTCGAGGGAGCCCATCACCCCAGCCTCACCCACACCCACCCGTCACTTGGCTCGTGAGAGCCTCCGGAGACTGACTCTGATGAACAGCCGTATCCTTAAAACAATGGCATTGATTTGGCATGGTTTGGGCCATAACTTCTGGCTGCTGTGATTTTCAGGTTTTGAATATTTATAGTTTCTGGAAGCCCTGGTATAGAATGAATCACTTTATAAGTTTATTTAATTCTGAGACGGTAAGTCATCATGCTTTAAAATCATCTCTGCTTCTGTACGTGATTGTCACTTCACCTTGTTTGCCTTTTTATATTTTAGGAATCTTTTGTTAAGTGGGAAAAAGGATGAGATTGCTTTTTGCTTTGTTAAGTTTCTTTTTGATTAAAAACTGGACTACATGTATTCTGTTGTTAACAGCTCTTCAGTGATTTCTTTACATGGTATAATCCTATGAAAGTGGTATTCAAGAATACTGTCAGCACTGAAGGGGCTTCTATTAAAATCCATGGTAATTATATCTTTTGGTTTTTTTCTTTTTTTTGCTTCCAGGTTTTCAAAACCCTTGGCACAGATGTCGTGAAGTCTGCATTTGAAGGTTATAATGCTTGTGTCTTTGCATACGGGCAGACCGGATCAGGAAAGTCATACACTATGATGGGAGACTCTGTACGTTGCTTACACTGTGTGGGAAGCAAATTTCTCATTCCCTTTTGTCTACGTGGTTGGTACTAAACGTGCCTTTCGTGTTTTCATCATTCTTTAGTAGTAAGATAAAGCTCAGTAATAAGTGGGATGAAATTTCCTTTGAGAGATTTTAAAATTAGAAATAGTTTTAAGTTTATAAGCATGAATAATGGATGGGAGTCTCAGTTCATTTTCCATTTTTAAAGGCTTTATAATCTTATAAAAAAAAAAGTGTCCTGGGCCCGCAAGTAATTTATTCTTCTTTTCTGCCAACCCAACAGTTTGAATAAAATTACTGAACTCTGTTCTTTTTAAAATTATTCAAAACATTTTTCCCCAAGAAAAATGTAGAAAAAAAAGAATCTCCTTGGTGGAAAGGCACTGCATAAATCCACTGAATACATGAAAAGTGTTAGAATTACACAGGTTATATAGCATCTACACAGTTATAAACGTAGTGTGTAGAGTTTAGTAGTCATGCTATATAAATTAAGGACATTAAAATTACACGTGCCCCAAAATAGATGGCAGAGAAGAAGCTGGGAGTGGCTGCAGAACCTTATCCCACTCTGTGTTTTCTCCAGACCTGTGTTTTACTTTTCTCATGTCACGGTTTGGAAAACTGTTCACTGACTCTGAGAGTCGAGCTCCTAGCAGAGCTTGGCTGGGCTTCCTGCCGGCAGGCTCAGAGGTGGCCCAGATGCTGCAGGTTTGGTGGTTCGTGGGAGAAGTAATGCAGTAAAGGAGGATAGGTCTTTCTGGATGAAAGCCTTTCAGCCCATGTGTCCTGGCTCCTTAAACCCAGGCGGCGTCTTTGCAGTAGAAGTGAATGCAGTGCTGCGAGTCCTCAGTCCTGAGAAGTAGGGAAAAATAAGAGAAGAACAGACGATTTCAGCAGTTTCACATTTCCTTTCACCATTACTCCACCCTTCCTTCTTTCCTGCTGTGCTCTGGGAAAAAAGCCTTCTCTAAAAATGAAATTTATGGGACTTCCCCAGTGGTCAAGACTGAGCTTCCACTGCACTGGGCATGGGTGTGATGCCTGGTCAGGGAACTGAGATAACACATGCTGTGTGTGGCCAAAAAATAGAAAATAAAAAAATTTTTTTTTTTTGCTTGTTGATTTTCTCTTAGCTAGTTTATGTAAGTTCAGCATTTACAAAGCACTCACAAGTTACAGCTGTTTTTCTCTGACCTTACAATTGAGTACCATTTGGGTATTCCGTTTTTATTTGATTTTTTTAAAGAAGAACAAAAAGTGTGGTGAAAGGGCCAATTTTCCTTTTACAAAAATTGGTACTGATTTAATGGTGTAAAGGAAAAACAGTTCTCCTAAACCTTGTGATGATATATGTATAAATTTGTGTATAAATATACGTATATATATATATTTTCTTTTTTTGGGGGGTGGGGGGAATGGGAGATTAGGTGCAAATAGAGATTTCAGAAGAAAACATTGAAATCTCAGAGTTTGGCCTCCTAACAGGAGCATTTTTCCTGGTCTTTGGTACCATTCTGAAGCCCATCAGCTTGTTAGTGCCGACCGAAACATGAATACTATAATTATACCCATATCACATAAGTAATGTGATGTATTAAAACCTTTCTGTCCAGGGGAGGCCAGGGTAGGAATTAGTGCATCACAGTCCGTATGTTTCAATGTGATCATCACCTCCTTTGTAAGACAAATAGCTTCTTGAGGATTTCCTAAGGTTTCTGCCTAGCGTGTATTTCAGCTTTTTTTGTCCTTTGACCAGATCAAATTTTTTAACATTTGTTTTACAGCAGTAGACTCTCTGGTTTGAGAGCTAGAGAATACATCTTATATTTGCAAGCCATGATTTAGCTGATTGACAGCTGACTACTGTCTATTACTATGGTCCCAGCATGTAGGAATTACAAAGCTCAATCCTCTTATTTCAGAGGATATGAAGCAGCCCTGCAAGGGGTGAGTGGTGTGCCCAGGTACCTGGGGTGGGCCTGTAGGCCCCCGGAGTCTTAAGTCCCGCCCAGCCCACTGCAGATGCAATCATCAGGTGCTTTTATTTCAAGTTACAGCTGAGGCACCCCTGTTTCCCACTGCAGAGTGATTCTGGCTTAATACCCCGGATCTGTGAAGGGCTCTTCAGTCAGATAAACGAAACCACCAGATGGGATGAGGCGTCTTTTCGAACTGAAGTCAGGTAGGGTTTGTGGCCTGAGTGAGTGTGTATGAGCTGGATTCAAAGCGTGAGGAATGGAGAAGGCCTTTGGATCCCTGAGAAGATAGTCTGCCTTTCCCTCTCCTGTGCTCTGCTGGGTGGAAGTCAAGCTTGAAGCACAAGTATGTTCAGTGACCTCCTTGGGTACATTTGGATGAGGGCTTCGGAGGTTAGTGGAGGTAACCCAGCCTGGTCTGAAACTAATGTGTGATGCTCGTCTCAGATGCAGCGAGCTTTTGACCTTTCAGCGTGTGCCCACTTGCCTTATTCTTTTATTTGAATAAGGTTTGTGTTGTTCTTTATGTTGGTTGGATCACTATCATTCTGATCTTTAAATAAATCTGGGCGGTTGAAGTGTTTTCTCCCCCCTTTCCTTGAACTTAAACCTGTGTGGAGAGGCAGTTTGGTCAGTGGTTTGGGGGCAAATATGGCAATCAGGGTATTCCCCTGGCTGCCTGAGCTCTTGGAGGCTGTGAGGTCTTGGACAGGCTGTTTAAATCACCCCAAGTTTCTACTGTCTAGTCTGTAAGACGAGGATGATAGTACCTTCCTTTGAGCTATTGTAGGGATTAAAGGAAATAATCCCCGTAAAGTGCTATACCTGATACATAGTTACCTCCCATAAATGTATGATGCTGCTGTTGTTGTTATTAGTGCCTTAAGTAATTTTACTGTATTCAACTCTGTTTGACATTTTTAGCTACTTAGAAATTTATAATGAACGTGTGAGAGATCTACTTAGACGGAAGTCATCCAAAACCTTCAATCTAAGAGTCCGTGAGCATCCAAAAGAGGGGCCTTATGTGGAAGGTAAGAGCGGATGTTTTCACAGCTCTCTTCTTGGGAATTTTTTTTTAAGAATAATAGTTTAAGAGAAAGAAAAAGAAGGATAATGGTGACATTTAAAAAATCTAATTTTGGAGTTTAATTATAGTGAAAATTACACGTGCTGCCACTGAACACCGGGGCTTCCCAGGTGGTGCTAATGGTTAAAGAAAGCACCTGCAATGTAGGAGATGTAAGAGACGCAGGGTTTGATACCTGGGTTGGGAAGATTCCTTGAAGGAGGGCATGGTAACCCACTCCAGTATTTTTGCTTGGAGAATCCCATGGACAGAGCAGCCTGGTAGGCTATAGTCTATAGAGTCTTATACACTCTACACTCTATAGGGTATAGAGTCCGACTGTACGGTCTATAGAGTCTGACTGTACGGTCTATAGAGTCTGACACGACTGAAGCAAGTTAGCACGCCACTGTCCTCTGTTCATTTAATGTGCTTCTACTTTACTGGCCATTAGCTGATTTTGAGGGGCTTGCCAATAGATCGTGTCTACCTTTAAGAACTCCAGAAACTTATTTTCCAAAGTTCTCAGGCAACTCTATAGCTTCTTTAAATGGCGTTGCATTTCAGGGGTGCGTTTGTACTCATCTTAGCGGTAACACGACTGTAGGGTGATTCTGAGAGCCCTCACCTTTGGGAAGAGTGTTTGAGGTTCCCGTGCTGTGTTCTCGGCCTTTGCACTGTGACACGTTCGCCGGGTCACTGTCCCCTGGGAGGACTGTCCCCAGGAGTGATGGGTAAAGGACTGGCCCCTGCGAACTATTCTAACAGTAGGCCGGCTGGACGGCTGCCCCTAGAACAGCCAGCTCTGCACACTCTGTGTGCGGCAGCTGAGGGGAGGCTGGGGACTAGGAATCGCACACAGACAGCCTCTCCTGTCCTGGTGGTGTCCTTCCTGCCTGTTTCACTGGAGGCAAGGCTCAGAACTGGCCATGGATTCAGAGATGTTTCTGCTTCTGTTGTCTTTTTCACCTGGAAAGCCAGGTGTGCTAACAGGACCCCATCTGCATTGTAGTAAATTTTCGATTGAACTTTTGTGTTTCATGCCCACAGCAAGGTGAGTAACTGTGTATTTGTTCCATGGAGTGTGTGATAAATAACTATCGTTAATAGTTTTTAGCCTGCCTTTTCCCTTTAACTGCCTTATCAAATGTTAAGACATACTATAGAGCTGGGTTTGTGGAGAGACAGGTTAATCAAGCAGGGTAAAAATCAGAATCTACTGTCAATACTTAATGGGGATTTAGTTTCTAATAAATCTGCTGTTCAAACACTGGAGAATATGGGTTATTAAATTGTCTGGGAGGAAAAAAAATGGTACCAGAGCTCAGTTTTTATACTAGAGTAAATGGCAAATGGATCAAAGATTTAAATGTAAAAAGTGACATAATGACTGCAAGAAACCCTGGATTACTTTTTTCTGGAAATTTGGAGAAGGGAGGGCTTTTAAAATTGTTTACTTAAAATCCAGAAGCCATGAAATAAAAGTGTTAAATTTGAAATGCTGAAACAAAACAAAAAATGAACTTTATACTTGGTAGAAACACCATAGGCAAAGTGAAAAAACAACTTACAAGGTGGAGAGGATCTTTTCAAGTTTCAGACAAAGGACTTGTTTTCCTAATATATAAGGAGCTCCTGTAAATGACGACAGCTCCACTACCAAGGAGAAAAATGAACAAAGGATGTGACTAGGTTGTCCACAGAAATATTGATGATTTCTAATCAGTATTTTAAAAAGTTGATTTAAATGTGTTAATTTCTGCTATACAGCAAAGTGATTCAGTTATACATATATATGTGTGTGTGTGTGTATATACACACACACACATTTTAAAAAGACTCTCCTCCATTATGGTTAATCATAGGATACTGAATATAGTCCTCTGTGCTATACAGTAGGACCTTGTTGTTTATTCCTTCTGTATATAATAGCTTACTTCTGCTGACCTCCGCCTCCAACTCCATTCCTCCCACAACGCCCTCACCCTTGGTCCATGTCTGTGATTCTGTTACTGTTTAATAGATAGGTTCATTTGTGCCATATTTTAGAGTCCACATAGAAGTGGTATCATATGGTATTTGTCTTTTTCTTTCTGACCTAATTCACTTAGCATGATAATCTCTAGTTGGATCTATGTTGCTACAAATGGTATTAATTGATTCTTTTTTAATGATGTATATACACACATGTATATATATATGTATGTATCTCACATCTTGATTTATCCCTTCATCTTTTGAGGGATGTTTAGGTTGTTTCCATGTCTCAGCTCTTGTAAATAGTGCTGCTGTAAACACAGGAGTACATGTACCTTGGCTGGTTGTATATCTAGGAATATACAGCCTATGAATTGCTGGATCATACGTAATTCTACTTTCAGTTTTCTGATGAACCTTTATACTGTTTGCGCAGTGGCTGCACCAACTTACATTGCCACCAGCAGTGGAGGAGGGTTCCCTTTTCTCCATATCCTCTCCAGCATTTATTTGTAGATTTTCAAAATGATGGCCATTCTGACCAGGGGTGAGGGAGTACCTTGTAGTTTTGATTTGAGTTTATCTAATAATGCTGAGCATCTTTTCGTTTGTCTGTTGGCCACCTGGAAATACGCATGATTTTTAAATGAAGGAAAGAAAGATTGACCTCACTAATAATCAGAGGAAAGCAGAATAAAATTTCTTTGAGGTAGCTTCTGTTACCTGTCCCCAGCAGTTGTAAGGAACCTGATGAGAGTGTGTTGGGAGACAGGCAGTCTTATGCATTGTTACTGTTGTGTGTAAATTGCCTTCTATGGAGGACAGTTTTGCAGTATCCATCAACAGTTTGTATATGTTTCAATATAGAAATTCCACCCTCTTAAGAATTTCAGTTCAGTTCACTCAAGTCGTGTCCGACTCTTTGCGACCCCATGGACTGCAGCACGCCAGGCCTCCCTGTCCATCACCAACTCTGGGAGTTTATTCAAACTCACATCCATTGAGTTAGTGATGCCATCCAACCATCTCATCCTCTGTCGTCCCCTTCTCCTCCTGCCTTCAATCTTTCCCTGCGTCAGGATCTTTTCAAATGAGTCAGCTCTTCGCATCAGGTGGCCAAAATACTGGTGTTTCAGCTTTAACGTCAGTCCTTCCAGTGAACACCCAGGACCAATTTCCCTTAGGATGGACTGGTTGGATCTCCTTGCAGTCCAAGGGACTCCCAAGAGTTCTCCAACACCACAGTTCAAAAGCATCAATTCTTATGTGCTCAGCCCTCTTTATAGTCCAACTCTCACATCCATACATGAACACTGGAAAAACCATAGCCTTGACTAGACAGTATTCTGGGGCCCCCGGCCTGAGAGAGCGAGCGTGGCTAAGGGCGCGTGGAGGGCGCGTGGGGGCACCCTTCCCAGCCCCTCCGGCACCCCGCCCCCCGTGCGCCTGCGCCCTTGCGCGCCCCGTGCAGCCCCCTGGTCCCCGAGCCTCGCGCCGCTGGTGGGTCCGCGGATCCGCGCCCCCACGGCCAGCCTCACTGGGCTGCGCCGGCCGCGTGCCACCTGGCCACAGCCTCGGCGACCAACAGTGGTGGGGGACGCTGCTAAGTCGCAGAGAGCGCAGCCTGGCCACCAGCCCTGCTTAACGCGCTTTGCTGATTGTCCATTTTTACGAGTTTACAACTTTTCTAAGAACTTTTGTTTACAAAGCAACTTTTATTTTAAAGGCATCTCCCTTTTGTATTTAATCTAAAGAAGGATCTCGGGCAGTTTGTGGTTTGGTTTTGGCTTCGTTTCTAAATTTTTTTCCTCTTTGTTGACTTTGGGGTTCGGATATTCCTACCGCTTCGAACTCCCGAGGACCTTTTGGGCCTCCACGTTAATGAGCCACCTGGCGAGTCTGATGTGGCCGCCAGCGAGGCGCCGCTCGCGTCCCTCCCCATGTTCGCGTCGGGCCTGGCGGGAAGGATGAGGTGCCCCGAATGACCGCTGGCAGAAGGAGCTCCCCCCACACGAAGCGGCTTCCCCAGTACTTCCCGGCCACCCCTACCTGGGCGGCGGCCGCAGCGGTGGCCACCAACCTGGAGAGTGGTGGAGTTTGCAGCCGCAGCCCGGCCCTCCTGCCCCGAGGGAGGCGGAGGAGTTCCGTGATCTCCTGGGCCTGGACCTCATCCTCTCCAGCTCGCTGTCACATCAGGAGCCCGTGGCCGCCACGGCATCCTTGTAGGCATCAGCCTCATCCTCCCTCTCCCCGTGGAGTAGCGGCCCCGCCAGCGCGCCCTCCACCTGCAGCCTCAGCGATCCATCCGGGCCGGGGGCGACCCGGGCGCAGCAGTGCCGGGCGGCGTGGGCGGCGGCTTCCTCAGCAGCAGGGAGTCTGCACCCGCTCCGACAGCTCCTGTCAACCTGGCGGACATCAGTGACGTGAGCCCCTCCAGTGGCTTCCTGGCCGAGCTTCTGTGGCCCGAATTGGACCCGGTGTGCATTCCGCCGCAGCGCCAGGTGGTGGACTGGTGGGCACGTTCGTGTTGAAGGCGCCTGAGTGCCCCTGGCAGCCAGTACGGCAACCCGTCTGTCATCGGTGTTCGCACAGGCGGCCAGGACGGCAGCCACTCGGTGGTGGTGGGCCCTACAGCGGCGGGCCGCCGCGCGTGTGCCCGAAGATCAAGCGGGAGGCTGTCTCCTTGTGCACCATCGGTTGGCTCCTCGAGGCCCGCTTGGGCACTGGACCTCCGCTCAGCAGTGACTACCGGCTGCCTGCGCACGACTTTCCCCTGGGGCGGCAGCTCCCCAGCAGGGCTACCCCGACCCTGGTGCCGAGGAACTGCTGAGCAGCCCGGACTGTCACCCTGCCCTGCCGCTCCCCTCGGGCTTCCATCCCCGCCCTCGGCCCAACCACCCTCCCTTCCTGCCGGACCAGATGCAGACGCACGTCCCACCGCGCCATGACCAAGCGCTCGTGCCAGCCGGTTCCTGCAGGCCGGAAGATCCCAAGCCAAAGAGGAGGAGGATGTCGTGGCCCCGGGAAAGGACGGCCTCTCACACTTGTGATTATGCAGGCTGAGGCTAAACCTGCAGGGAGAGTTCTCATCTCAAGGCACACCTGCGTACCCCACACAGGTGCACACAGGTTCGAAACCTTCCCATGGTGACTGGGATGGCCGAGGGTGGAAGTTTTCCCGCTCAGATGAACTGACCAGGCACTATGGCAGACATCCCGGGCAGTGCCGGAAGCGCGACTGGGCATTCTCCAGGTTCGACCACCTCCCTTAGACATGAAGAGGCACTTTTAAATCCCCAAACAGTGGATGTGACCCACACTGCCAGAAGAGAATTCAGTCTTTTTTACCTTTCACACTGTCTTCCTGGTGAGGGGAGGAACCCAGCTAGAAAGCACTACAGTCATGGTGAAGTTCCCAAGGAGTAAACTTGTGAATGGATAATCAGGAGACACAGGAAACCAAAAGATAAACTCAAAAACACAAAATGAAAAAACAGATGGGGTCTGTGACTGTATCTTCTAGCGTTCCAATTCTAAATCCAACTTGGATATATATATTTCTGGACTTACAAAACATCAAGGGGGTGACTGGAAGTTGTGGCTATCAGGGTATAAATTAGATCTTAAAGTTGGGGGAAGGGAAGACCAGAACCCCTTGAATTGTTTTTGATGCAATATAAGCATAAAGATCACATTGTATTTTGTTTGCCTTCTAAAAGTCATTATGATGCTCTTAGAAGAAGAGGAGGAAATTCAGGTACAGAAAATGGTGTTTAATAGCCTAAACAATGGTTCTTGGTAAGTCTTGGTTCTAAAGGTACCAAATGAGGCCCAAGTTCTCAAACTGCTGCTTACTTTGACAAGGAAAATCTGTTTTTGTCTTCTGATCTAAATTTATGACCTAAGTCAGGTAAATACACCTGGTTTACTTTAATCTTTTATATAGTCTGTTATGATTGTGGTTTCAGATGTGTAATAATTTGTACAATGGTTTATTCCCAAGTATGCCTTAAGCAGAACAAATATTTTTTTCTATATAGCTCCTTGCCTTAATAAATATGTAATATAAATTTAAGGAAACTTCTATTTTGTATATTTGTAAACTACAAAGTAAAAAAATGAACATTTTGTGGAGTTTGTATTTTGCGTGCTCAAGGTGAGAATTAAGTTTTAAATAAACCTATAATATTTTATCTGAAAAAAAAAAAAAGAATTTGTCCTGAAGAATTATTCACATATTCATAAAAACCTGTGTACAAGATTATTTGTAGCAGCATTGCTTGTATTGAAAGCAAACACTCATAACAATGTCTGTCATCTCAATAGGAGACTATTAAATTGGTTATGGTACATACATACAGTCTAGTGCTAGTACAGTCTGGTGCCCTGCAGCCGTAAAAATGAATGAGGGATCACTTTGATACACAAAATTCTTCAATGTATTATTACACAGAAAAAAGGAAGATGCAAAACAATGTGTATGGTACGCTACCATGTGTAAAAGGAGGAAAAAGATGGTTTAATATTTATGTAATGTCCTGTATACATATGGCTTATTTCTAGAAAGTTTTGGGAAAATAAGAATGTTGGGTTGCTTGACAGGAAAGTGTGGGGTAGGTTATCAGATGGTGATACTGATAGAAAAACTACTTTTTGTAGTTTTTGACTATAAAAGCATATGAATGTTCTCAAAAAAAATGAATGAAAAGTTTCTTTAGAAAGGATTTTAAAGAATGTGATCATGTTTTGCATGGAGGTAGTGTTTGCATTTTCCCTGACTGTGATTAGGGCTAATGGTGTTGACTGTGATATTTCACAGTTATCCTGAATACCCTATGCGATAGGCATGCCATATCAGGAGAGGTGACCGAGGCTCAATGAAGTTAAATGACTTCTTCACAACCTTGTGAGTCTACTGGTCAGCCACCAAGCTGGGACTTGACCCGAGGCAGTTAGCTCCTGAGTCTGCCTTAGAAACCACCACAGGTTCAGGTGCAAATGCATGTGCGCTCAGTCGTGTCCGACTATTTGTGACCCCATGGACTGTAGCCTGCCAGGCTTCTCTGTCTATGGCATTTCCCAGGCAAGAACTATGGAGTAGGTTACCATTTCCTTCTCCAGGGGAGCTTCCGCACCCAGAATTGAATCTTCCTCTCTTGCATTGGCAGACGGATTTTTACCGCTGTGCCACTTGGGACGCGCACAGATTGTACAGTCGTGTATTATTTTGCAGAGGTACCTCCTCTCTTCTTGCCTCTACTATCTACTGGGGAGAGTGCTTCACCCTCCTCTTTTTTTTTTTTCAGATTTATCCAAACATTTAGTGCAGAATTATGGTGATGTTGAAGAGCTTATGGACGCAGGAAACATCAACCGGACCACCGCCGCCACGGGGATGAATGACGTCAGCAGCCGGTCTCACGCCATCTTCACCATCAAGTTCACGCAGGTGAGGGCAGTCGTGGGCCGGGGGCCCGCCCCCGAGCGCTTCACGTGCTCATCAGCGCCGGCTGCAGACTGGTCTATGCTGAGCCAGGGGCCTCAGAGGCTCCCCACTGCTGTTTTCTTGTTCTTTAGACTTGAACATGTGCTGTGTGATGGTTTCTCTGCAGTTATAAACACGCTCATTTGAGATGTAGCCTGATGAAGACCCCTAAGACATATTTAGCAGGCTTCTTCCCTGTTCTCCACATAAAAAAAGGTGCTGTGTGTTTAGTTAAGCCAGAGTTTTTGTTGTTGCAGGCTCTGGGGTAGATAATGGGTTGCCAGAGAGAGCAGCTGGAGGCCAGCGTGAGGAACTCATCACCTTGAGTGGTCTAAGGGGGGGTGGTCCTTTATGGCTCCATGGAACTCACCCCACAATGCTAATTGTGATTATTAAAATGATATTAAAGGACAAGGGATGTTTTTACATATTAATGTTCTGATCTGGAGGTGGAGAGTGTTTAGAACACACGTGAAAATGACTCGGGGGGAAATATGTTAACATTGAGGCCAGTGAAACCAATGAGCCTAAAAGTGTCGGGTCCTCTCAGCGCTCAGGACATTATTAGGAGTTTGGGGGAGTCTGGCCTGTATTAACCATTGAACATGTCAGGTAGAAAGACTTAGCATAATTCATGAGGGGGATCAGAGAGCAAAGAAGATGAAAAAATTCCCTAAGGTCAATTGGAATAACTCCTGATAAATTCTCCAGAAATGTGTATCTTTTATTACGTTTACTGGTTTTTCTCCTGTTTTCTGGTTAATGTGGATTAGGATGTGGCCATCCCTAGTTTCTAAGAGGCTTGCTTTTGTATCAAAATGCAGTAATTTCTTCGTGACATTTTGGTTCAGACTGTAAAATATAGGTTAAAAGTCTTGGGAAAGTAAAATTTTGGTAAAATTCAGAATGAAAGAATACAGTATTTAAGATTTTCACTATTTTATAATTGTGAAACAAATTGTATGTTAATATCAGATAACGGTTGGATGATCTTTCACATAATTGTCTATGTTTATCATATTTTGGAAAACCATTATGCTTGCCTTGTTCAAGATTTTAGGTGAGAGCAAAACTAATTATTTGTTTACTTATATTTTTCTTTATGGAGTGAGTGCCCCTCAGGGCCTAGCTTCCTTCTCTTCCAGGGTCAGACTCAGCCCTTGTTGAATGACTGAGTGATTTGGATAATGGAATTCGTGGTTCTTCAGAAGGTCTAAGGCTCACATATGGTCGGCTTCTATTGTATCCAGTATAATTATTGTAATCAGGAAGAAGCCCAATGAAAAAACAAAATTAAGAAAAAAATCTACCCTGAGAGATCACAGTGAGGAGTGGGAAATCATTAGAACTTGTATTGGTGGTTTAGTCGCTAAGTCGTGTCTGACTCTTGTGACCCCATGGACAGTAGCCTGCCAACCTCCTCTGTCTGTGAGATTATCCAGGCAAGAATACTGGAGTGGGTTGCCATTTTCTTCTCCAGCGGATCTTCCCGACCCAGGGATCAAACCCGGGTCTCCTGCATTATAGGCAGTTTCTTTACCAACTGAGCTATGAGGGAAGCCCTTGAACTTGTGTTATAAACACATAAACATATGTGGCAGCCTGGATGGGAGGGGAGTTTGGGGGAGAATGGAGCCATGTGTATGTATGGCTGAGTCGCTTTGATGTGCACCTGAAATTATCACAACATTGTTCATTGACTGTATTCTGATATAAAATAACAAAGTTAAAAAAAATTTAGTCAACCAAAAATAATTTGATTGCTAAATATGTTGCCAGTCCAATGCTAGTTATCAATGAGGATGTAAAAGATTTTGTTTCTGTTAAATAATAATCTAGTTGGGGAGAGAAGGTTAATAAACATGAATGACACAGGAGAAAAACAAACACACAATGTTATATAAACATTGACATTCTTTGTACCTCTTCCATTTTGCATTTATATTTCACCATAGGCAAAATTTGATTCTGAAATGCCGTCTGAAACCGTGAGTAAGATCCACTTGGTCGACCTCGCGGGCAGCGAGCGGGCGGATGCCACTGGCGCCACGGGGGCCCGGCTGAAGGAAGGGGGCAACATCAACAAGTCCCTCGTGACGCTGGGCAACGTCATTTCTGCCTTAGGTAGGTTCACCCTTGTCTCCTGCCTCTTCCCGGTGTTCCACAGAGGCGTGAAGAGCTTAGGTTTAATGTTTGTCTTACAAACTAGAGTAACAGCTGCAAGGTTTTTTGAAGCCAAGTTCAAGAAGAAAAAAAAAAACCTTTAATAATTGTCTTTGCCTTCCCCTACCTTTTCTTTCTCCCTGCAGCTGATTTATCTCAGGATGCAGCAAACCCTCTTGTAAAGAAGAAGCAAGTTTTCGTGCCTTACAGGGATTCTGTTTTGACTTGGTTGTTGAAAGACAGCCTTGGTGGAAACTCTAAAACAATCATGATAGCCAGTAAGAAGTTTTGTCTTTTTCTTGTTCTCAACGTATAGTGTTTCATATGAACTGGTTGTGACAATTTTAAGTTTGAAGTATTTCATTAGGCAGTAGCACCTCTTTATTTAAAAAAGAAAAAGAAACTTTATATTTTGAAGAAAAATACGTACTGTGATCCAGTCTGCAGTATGGTATTATTGCCTCTTTCCCCCTCTCCCTGGTTACATTAGCTTGCCGTTTTCTTGATTATGCAAACTGACATCCGTGCAGGGTGACCCTCAGTGGTGCTTAAAGTATAGGACAGAAACTTCCAACTCTGCCAACTCATGCCAACTTTAGACATAAACTAGAAATAACCCAACTTTGTTTTTCTATTTAAAAGCAGAAAATAAGGAATTTAAGAATTGAGGGGGAAAAGTGTGGTAAATATGATGATGATCTACGTCTATATTTTCGCTAATTAACAAGAAGAAGCAGAACAGAGGGGAAAATGTGCCGGGGGGGGGGGATAACTATTGAGAATTTCCCTTCCAGCTCCACCCCCACCCTCTTTTCTTGTCTCCACATCTCCTCCTGCCCAAGCCACGCAGTCCCTGTGGAGGCCAGGGGTCTTCCCAGGGGTATGCACCCCAGATGCAATTGTGTAGTTATTTTAGCTCTAAAGTTTGTTGGGGTTGAGGTGGGGATGTGATCAACCAAAGCTTTGGGAGGAAGAGCATTACCTGATCTACAGACTCTTTACAAAAGTTATCACACTCTGGGTTTTCATAGGTGGTAGGTTTTGCCAGAACTCTTTTAAAAGGATTTAAATTTCTGCTTTATCTTGAGAAGTGTAAATAGTCTTGAAATCCTCTACTTATATGTTCAACAGAGGAAACTCCCTAAGCTGCAATGGAGTGTTTCCAATCTTGCTTTAGATTTGGTTAGATGGCTGATTCTAAACTGAAGAAGAGTGAAATGGCATTTAATTTGGCATAGTGAGCACCTTTCCTCTGAGTCCCGGATAATTTGTAATATTCATGACTGCAGTAATGAATATTTAGTCTATCCAGCGACCTGGGGTTAATCTGACTTTTAAATTACAAACCAACTTTGTGTTAAATGAAATAGAGTGCTGGATAAATTATTTTTTGAAATCATTCTTCACAGCCATTTCACCTGCTGATGTCAATTACGGAGAAACCCTAAGTACTCTTCGCTATGCAAATAGAGCCAAAAACATCATCAACAAGCCTACCATTAATGAGGACGCCAACGTCAAGCTCATCCGTGAACTGCGAGCCGAAATAGCCAGGCTGAAGACGCTGCTTGCCCAGGGGAATCAGGTTGGCTCTTTTCTGAGACTCAGGGGTAATTTTCTTTGAGTAATGGCATCTATTTCTAGATCTTAATGAGACATTCATCTCGGGAGTCGTATTGATTTGAGTAAATAAGTGCTAAGTAAAGCTTTGAGTGAGTTAGCCCGGTCTCTCCTTAACATCACCGTCCTGTTGGCCTTTGAATTCATTATATGCTCTGTGCTTAAGATTTTATCCACTAAACCCGAGATGATTAACTACCTAATAGTTATCAATTATGGATGGAAATTTAGCATGCAGTAGGATTAGCAGCAAAATCTCCGTTAGTGGAAGGAAATCGAGGTGCTTGGAGCAATGTTTAAAATTCTACCGAAGCATTTTTTGACTTGAAGATGTATTTTAACAGAAGGAGAGACTCATTTGAGCCCCTTTCTGAGTCTCTGTTTGGTACTTCCCCTTACAGCAGTGGCTAGAGTGATGCGGGGTCCCGAGACATCCCTGTGGCCTGGCGGAGGTGATGTGCCCGGGCCCCCACATGATGGCGGAAATAGCCTCCCTTCAGGATCCCTCGGGGTTTTTGTGAAGGAGCCTTGTCCTTTTCACTGTAGTCTTCTGCATGGTGCGTGTGCCAAGCTGCTTCTGTGATCACAGTGTGATCCATGCTGGTTGGTTTAGACACTGTCATGAGAGAAAGTCAGGATCACTTTTTAAAACACTCGAGTTAAAGTGGGGTTAGAAATGAAGAGGGACTTCCCTGGTGGTTGAGTAATTGAGACTGTGCTTCCAAAGCTGGGGGCATGGGTTTGGTCCCTGGTTGGGGAATTCAGATCCTATATCCCGCATGATATGGCCAAGAAAAACAACCCCCAACATTTCTTCCCATTTTCCTAACCCATGAATGGATGTCTGAAGTGTATCATTAAAAAAAGCAAAGAACCCAGCTTTTCTTTAAATGCACAGAGCTGTCTTTAGAGCAGCTTTCCCTCCAGGAGCATGGGGCCCTTGAAGCCCTTGACATCCCTTGAGCGGTTTGACTCATGAGACTCAACAGGCAAAGAGCCTCACAGAGTTTGCTGCATCCTGAAAGCCCCGAGAGTTGCTGTTCTCTAAACTAGGGGACTGGAGTGGGCTGGGAGCTGATCTCTGCACCTAAAAATAGCTCCACGTAATTGTACTCTTTCTTTTTTTTTAATCTTTTGGCTGTCCTGCTCCGCGTTTGGGTTTAGTACCTTGACCAGGGATCGAACCCTTGCACCCTGCATTGGCAGCTCAGAGTCTTAACCCCGGGACCACCAGGGGAGTCCCAGTGGTGCTTTCTGATGTGGAACTTCCCTGTGTGTGCGTGGACGCCGTCAGCACGATGGGTCCAGCAGCTAGTGGTGTTACCAGGCTCGAATCACTGATGACGCCAGCCACAGCTGTCATTTTCACTTATGTACTCTGTTATTGGGATCTTTTTTCAATGTTTTAAAAATATTTGTCTGAGGTAAATATATAAAGGTGGTTTGATAGGGTTACCCAGACTACAGTGTGTGAAGGGAAGGACTTGGAAAATTTTTGTAGTTAACATTTACTAAGTAATGAGAATGAAGGAAAAGAGATCAGCCTGTTAAACATTAAACTGAGGAAGTCCTTGAAAGGAGCCTTGTCACACCAGCAGAAAAACTTAATTCAAACGTTTGCAGATTCTGTCTGAGGAATGTCTCAGAGGTGTCATATATGCCAGTTGCCTTATACTTTGTGATCTTCGGTTCTCTTTCTCTTTCACGGCCAAAGACCACTACAGTCATTAAAAGGTTATTTTAGTTACTGTAGTTTTAGGGGTGAGGATGGAAAAGATTGTTGTGTATTTTAGGATACAGTGACGATAAACTCTGATAAACAATACATTACAATAAAAACGAGTCCAATTTAAAATAATTTATTGTACCGTGAAGCTATAAATTGTTGTGAGACAATACAAGCTTATCCAAAATTAATTAAATTTGTGATGCTCAATAAAATAAGCAGGGGTTCTTAAGCGCTCATTAGAAAAATCTATGTATAAATTTTTTGGTGACATTCTTGTTTTCCCACAGTATCCTGTTCCAGATGCTGCTGTGGTGCATTGAAAATGCTGCTCAAGTCAGAGCTCCATTTCTGGGTTGTTGAAGTACAGCCAGATAAAACCTCCTGCTTTTTTTTTTTTCATTTATTTTTATTAGTTGGAGGCTAATTACTTTACATCATTGCAGTGGTTTTTGTCATACATTGAAATGAATTAGCCATGGATTTACATGTATTCCCCATCCCGGTCCCCCCTCCCACCTCCCTCTCCACCCGATCCCTCTGGGTCTTCCCAGTGCACCAGGCCCGAGCACTTGTCTCATGCACCCAACCTGGGCTGGTGATCTGTTTCACCCTAGATAATATACATGTTTCGATGCTGTTCTCTTGAAACATCCCACCCTCGCCTTCTCCCAGAGTCCACAAGTCTGTTCTATACATCTGAGTCTCTTTTTCTGTCTTGCATATAGGGTTATCGTTACCATCTTTCTAAATTCCATATATATGTGTTAGTATACTGTAATGGTCTTTATCTTTCTGGCTTACTTCGCTCTGTATAATGGGCTCCAGTTTCATCCGTCTCATTAGAACTGATTCAAATGAATTCTTTTTAATGGCTGAGTAATATTCCATGGTGTATATGTACCACAGCTTCCTCATCCATTCGTCTGCTGATGGGCATCTAGGTTGCTTCCATGTCCTGGCTATTATAAACAGTGCTGCGATGAACATTGGGGTGCACGTGTCTCTTTCAGATCTGGTTTCCTCGGTGTGTATGCCCAGCAGTGGGATTGCTGGGTCATATGGCAGTTCTATTTCCAGCTTTTTAAGAAATCTCCACACTGTTTTCCATAGTGGCTGTACTAATTTTGCATTCCCACCAACAGTGTAAGAGGGTTCCCTTTTCTCCACATCCTCTCCAGCATTTATTGCTTGTAGACTTTTGGATAGCAGCCATCCTGACTGGCGTGTAATGGTACCTCATTGTGGTTTTGATTTGCATTTCTCTGATAATGAGTGATATTGAGCATCTTTTCATGTGTTTGTTAGCCATCTGTATGTCTTCCTTGGAGAAATGTCTGTTCAGTTCTTTGGCCCATTGTTTGATTGGGTCATTTATTTTTCTGGAGTTGAGCTGGAGGAGTTGCTTGTATATTTTTTGAGATTAATCCTTTGTCTGTTGCTTCGTTTGCTATTATTTTCTCCCAATCTGATGGCTGTCTTTTCACCTTGCTTATAGTTTCCTTTGTTGTGCAAAAGCTTTTAAGTTTCATTAGGTCCCATTTGTTTATTTTTGCTTTTATTTCTAAAATTCTGGGATGTGGGTCATAGAGGATCCTGCTGTGATTTATGTCGGAGAGTGTTTTGCCTATGTTCTCCTCTAGGAGTTTTATAGTTTCTGGTCTTACATTTAGATCTTTAATCCATTTTGAGTTTATTTTTGTGTATGGTGTTAGAAAGTGTTCTAGTTTCATTCTTTTACAGGTGGTTGACCAGTTTTCCCAGCACCACTTGTTAAAGAGGTTGTCTTTTTTCCATTGTATATCCTTGCCTCCTTTGTCAAAGATAAGGTGACCATAGGTTCGTGGATTTATCTCTGGGCTTTCTATTCTGTTCCATTGATCTATATTTCTGTCTTTGTGCCAGTACCATACTGTCTTGATGACTGTGGCTTTGTAGTATAGTCTGAAGTCAGGCAGATTGATTCCTCCAGTTCCATTCTTCTTTCTCAGGATTACTTTGGCTATTCGAGGTTTTTTGTATTTCCATACAAATTGTGAAATTATTCGTTCTAGTTCTGTGAAAAATACCGTTGGTAGTTTGATAGGGATTGCATTGAATCTGTAGATTGCTTTGGGTAGTATAGCCATTTTGACAATATTGATTCTTCCAATCCATGAACACGGTATATTTCTCCATCTGTTTGTGTCCTCTTTGATTTCTTTCATCAGTGTTTTATAGTTTTCTATGTATAGGTCTTTTGTTTCTTTAGGTAGATATACTCCTAAGTATTTTATTCTTTTTGTTGCAATGGTGAATGGTATTGTTTCCTTAATTTCTCTTTCTGTTTTCTCATTGTTAGTGTATAGGAATGCAAGAGATTTCTGTGTGTTAATTTTATATCCTGCAACTTTACTGTATTAGTTGGTTAGCTCTAGTAATTTTCTGGTAGAGTCTTTAGGATTTTCTATGTAGAGGATCATGTCATCTGCAAACAGCGAGAGTTTCACTTCTTCTTTTCCTATCTGGATTCCTTTTATTTCTTTTTCTGCTCTGATTGCTGTGGCCAAAACTTCCAAAACTATGTTGAATAGTAGTGGTGAGAGTGGGCACCCTTGTCTTGTTCCTGATTTCAGGGGAAATGCTTTCAATTTTTCACCATTGAGGGTGATGCTTGTTGTGGGTTTGTCATATATAGCTTTTATTATGTTGAGGTATGTTCCTTCTATTCCTGCTTTCTGGAGAGTTTTAATCATAAATGGATGTTGAATTTTGTCAAAGGCTTTTTCTGCATCTATTGAGATAATCATATGGTTTTTATCTTTCAATTTGTTAATGTGGTGTATTACACTGATTGATTTGCGGATATTAAAGAATCCTTGCATTCCTGGGATAAAGCCCACTTGGTCATGATGTATGATTTTTTTAATATGTTGTTGGATTCTGTTTGCTAGAATTTTGTTAAGGATTTTTGCATCTATGTTCATCAGTGATATTGGCCTGTAGTTTTCTTTTTTTGTGGCATCTTTGTCTGGTTTTGGAATTAGGGTGATGGTGGCCTCATAGAATGAGTTTGGAAGTTTACCTTCTTCTGCAATTTTCTGGAAGAGTTTGAGTAAGATAGGTGTTAGCTCTTCTCTAAAGTTTTGGTAGAATTCAGCTGTGAAGCCATCTGGTCCTGGGCTTTTGTTTGCTGGAAGATTTCTGATTACAGTTTTGATTTCCTTGCTTGTGATGGTTTTGTTAAGATCTTCTATTTC